CATAGATCTTTCCGTAAGCCCCTAGAGGAATAATGCCTAACCCTTTCGGTTACCTGCTATTTCCTCCGGGCGTGAGACTATGAGAAGGAAGGCTTGGCAAGGGCCAAAATGCAAGCATTCTACTTCACCCACATCAGCAGGAATAATTACTCCCAGGCAATTATTCTTGGCTCCAATATGAAACATTTCAGTCCCTGAAAACACTATATATAAAAGGTATAAGAAACAGTATGTCTGATGTTCATCTGCTAATGTCCCCAAATGTCAACAAGGTAATTACTTGGATGACATTTATGTGATATAGCTGGACATTGTTACAGTTAATTTAAAGCTTGCCTCTGGCAAATACTTTATTTCAACCTACATCGAGCTGTGGGCCCATGATCACTTTTGCTGGAAGAATACCTCCTTCCCAGCGACACTTCTGTCCTTATCGTTCCACCTTTACATTGTACTAAAATCCAATGGAAGAAAAGTGATATTTTATCATATTTTATAGGTATGCTTACAGCTTTCTGAAAACAATGTACAACATATAGTAAGACATATCATTCTTTTTATGAAATAGATTCATATTGTTCCAAGGACTCTGCAATCACAAAGTGCATGTTGTCAAAATTTTTAGCTCCATAAATTAGTGTTAACTTGCAGAGAACAGACTATTCATAAAGCTTTTTAAAAAATCTAACACATATCCAAAGACACTATATTTACAAAAATAGAGAAAGAAAAAAAATTTTTGTTTGTTATTTCTAAACTCACATGCAAACTTGAGCTTTGCCTTCCGACTCAGAATTGTCCCCAGGAGATTGGTGGCTAGGCACTGATACATGCCAATATCTTGCTCTGTGTGGGGGCTACTGATTGCCAAATTTCCTCCATCCAACCTGTAGTGATAGGTCTTGGTGAAATCAATATCAGTGCCATTTTGCTTCCACCTTTAAGGGGAAAAAAATCAAATTATATCTATAATACACAGAGTAGACCACTATTTCTCTTAAATAACATGAATCTATACTTTATGTAGCCATCGGAAAGAAAGGCAAAAGAAGGAAGGGGGAAAGGAAGGAAGGGAGGAAGGACGGATGGAAAGAGGGAAGGACAAAGAAGGAAGGGAAGGGAAGTGAGGGGAAGGGAAAGGAGAGAAGAGGAAGGAGGAAAGGACAAAAGATATTGTTAAATTGGTAACAAACCTACTAGTTTCACCAAAGGTGACATCAGGTTATTTGAAAACCGTCACTCCTTACAAGTGACAAACACTCACATAAATGTATGTAAAGAAGCACAGAATTCTTAGCATAAGAAATAAAACTTAGACATGTAGCCAGTAATGCTGGCCATCCCATTCTTTAATTCCTTTTCAGATAACCCATGAGTGTAGTATACCTGAATATCTACAACTGATACCACAAAATTGAATGTAAAAATGATTTAGAGATAGAAATCCATGAAGGGTGTATTACCAGTGGCAGGAAGA